TGCAAAAATATAGCCTTCAATCCATTGTTTATTTTTCAGCGACATTTTAAAGAAAGTATTTTTAATCCTGCAGAAGGTAATTAAACCTTATTCCAGTTTGATACCAGTCACATTTTTTTAATTAATATTTAAATTCACAGAGGAAATTGTATTCATTATAAAAATATCTGAACGCCCTCTGTATATATGACTTGTAAAATCAATATAATTATACATCAGCAGACATTATTAATATATCCAAAGAAAATATGGTACAACTCTGATATATGCCCTAATTTCACCAAATGTGGCGATATGTGTTCTGTGCTGGTTTTGGCACGATTGCGTGTTGTATGGCAACCCTGTTGATGTTAAGAAATCTTTTGGTGGAGTAGTTTAATTGCTAGTTGGTTCGTGTCGTGTGTGTTTTTGAAATGGTCTATGTTGCGATGAAAGACGTGGTGCGAAGGTTTCAGTCGCATATTTTAGATTGTGTGCAGAGTAAATTTAGTGTGAAAAGGTACGATGTTGGGGTTGTTAACGAGTCTTTTGTTCACAGATATATTTATGTGGTAGTGTATTTTTGGAATTTCTGTGGTAGCCGGAACTTTTAAAATGGAGTTTGACATGTCTGAAATGCGGAGCTGATATGAAAACTCGGACGAAGAATGGTGTTTCTGATAGACTTGTGTGGGTTTGCAGTCAAATTGTTGCTGGTAAAGTATGTGGGTGTCAGCGGAGTTTAAGGTTTGGATCTTGGTTTTCTTGTAGCAAGTTAATGTTGCAGGAAGTTTTTATTGTTACTTTTAAATTTTTGAATCGTAGGAAGGCATGTGATATAGCAAAATCGTGGCAGTTTTCTTCACAGACGTTGTGTGATTGGCAAAATTTTATTAACGAATGTATTTTGGACTTTGTATGCTCTGTGTCTGAGAAGATAGGGGGAAAGATAAAGTGGTGGAAGTTGATGAATCGAAAATCGGCAAAAGGAAATACCATCATCGTGGCCATCCTGTTGAGGGGCAGTGGGTATTTGGAGGTGTGGAAAGAGGGTCTGGGAGATTATTTTTAGTAGCTGTGTGTGATAGAAGTAAAGAGTGGATTATTTTTAGTAGCTGTGTGTGATAGAAGTAAAGAGTGGATTATTTTTAGTAGCTGTGTGTGTTAGAAGTAAAGAGTGGATTATTTTTAGTAGCTGTGTGTGATAGAAGTAAAGAGTGGATTGAAATTGGTACAACTATTTTTTCGGATGGTAAAAATATTATAGTATATATTAAAAATTATTATTCATTTCACCTTAAAAATTATATTTGATATTTTAATGATTTAAAGCCTGTTTTCTCCTGATGCTGTAATTCTTTAATAATAGTATTTTTAATTGTTTGTTATGTGCATCTTTTTACAAGATTTATCCCAGTTTTATCATTCAAGTTTAATTATCTCTTAAATCTTAAAAAATAATTGAAAAGATAATCGCATTCCATTTATATGTTAAATAATAAGTAACGTATTTGACTGCATATAAGATGCACTTTTTTCCTAAATTTGGTCTCAAAAAAGTTACCTGCGTCTTATACGTGAAAGTAATTGCATTCAATAATTGTTTATTTTGCTTTTATGAAACGTGAGAACTAAAAGAAACCACGCTATTAACTTTTTTCCTTGTGTGTGGCCATCTAAATGAGGGTGTGTCTTATATGCCGTCAAATACGGAAAATAAAAATAAAAACTATCCTTGGTGTGTGGTGTTAAATGATACCACTAAAACATTTGTTGGCAAGAAGGGGAAAAAAGTTCTAGTCCATAATTTGAAATTATCCTTAAATACGAATCCTCAAAGGCTTAGTATGTGTACACTAATTCAGTAAGTAACACAAAGTATTATTTGGGTTTTAAAAAAGATTAGCAATTTATCTGTTTTATTACAGAAAAATCTATGTACCTTAAACTACTTTTTGACGTGTTTGTTCACAATGTAAGTTAAGGCATGTATCCTGGCATTAATTGCAAAATACCCTCTTTGTTGAATTCGGCTGCCTGTGACTGAACCAGTTCTGTATGTTAACCTTTCTCACCATCACTTGCAAAGTGCTGGATGGCAAGAAATTTCTTGAGATGCGAAAACAGATAAGTTGGACTGACCTAGATCTTGATTATAAGGGGGTGACAGAATTGTTCCCAGTGTAATAAATGAAATAGCATCATCGTTACACGTGTAGTATGGGGTCACAGGTTCTCATGTATGAATATAATACCAAAAGTTAGTAGTCCACGTCTTTTGTTCTGAATCACGTGCCGTAACGTCTTAAAATATCCCACAATAAACTGTAGCAGTGATTGCTGGACCTCGTTCCATCCAGTTCATTAACCAAATTCCTTGACTGTTCTAAAACACGGTACACATGAATTTTTTAAGAAGGAGGTGGCTTTGCTTTCTTTAATTTCGGGGAACCAGTATGCTGCCATTTCAGGTATCTCATAGCAAACCCATGTTTCCATTGTCTGTCAGTCCTTTTCAAAAAGTCATTTCCTTCTGTTGCATAACACTGCAAAAATTCCAAGGCTGTTCCCATGCATTTTCATTTTTGAAGGTCCATTTAGTGTTTTCAGTACTCATTATATACAGTTTTTGTAGTGCAGATGTTCACAGTTTCTTGTAATAAAGATTGTGAAATGCATTGACACGTCAGAAATCTTAAATTGCGTGCTGGAACAAACTTTTTCGTTGATGCAGTGTACAAATTCTTCGGTGATCAATGATGGGTGTCCACTGTGCTCCTCTTTATGGACATATTCGCTTCCTTTAGCATCCTAAGCATTTTTTTTTTTTTTTTTTGGCACCATACTTTCATTTATTGCATTTCCTTCATAAGTTCTACTTATACTGGCAAGTTTCACAAGCTCAAACATTTCTTGCATTCAAAAACTTGATAATAGCTATTATTTCACAGCTGGAGAGCCAATAGTTTTAAACGGGATTGCCGACAGACAGTGACTTCAAACATTAATGTAAAGAAACAAAATGGCTAGGCTGATTCGTTCTCAATTGAACAGTGTAACTATGCATGTGCAAATGATACTTATTTTCTGGAGTAGCTTAGTACATAACTTTTCTAAAGAAATGTTCAATATTAGTGATGATTTAATGAAAGTGATAATTCTCATCATTCCAGTACACAGTTGAGGTACATTTAAAATGTAAATTATGCGAACTAAAGAATTTACAATTTCATCAGAGAAGAATTGTTCTTTGGAATGGATTACTGTGAAGCTTTGGCACAGGCACACACATGTGATTCTTCTAGAACACAGATTCTCAACCTTTACCTAGTATCAATCAGTTTTCAAGAATGATTTTCTCATTGACCCCCCTTATATTTTCTTTATATTATGATCGTAAAATAATACGATAAAAATACATAATTGTATGTACGTAATAATACATAATTGTACATAAATTTACACAAAAGCTTGATGTATTTTGTAAAGCTATTTTGCATAAAATTGCTCAAATTAGTTCTTATATCACTTTGTGCAAAAATATTCAGGCTCTGTGTTTTCTGTAGTAAACTATTCACTTGACTAAAGCTTGTTTTAATAGGTAAGAAGAGGGGAAAATCAATAATATTGTTTTGGCAATAACGTGTATTTTGGGATATTTTTTCTCTTTGATGATTTTTAAATTCCAAAACTTGGCATACCCATTCATTTTAGTAATTTGCCTTGTGCTTGAACATCCTTTTTTTAGTGCAATCAACTCTTGCATCCTAATATCAAGATCAGGTATATCACATTTCAGAGGTTCGCTGACGCATGTTGACTTGCTGAAATTTTTTATGCTAGGAAGGGGACATGAAAATCTTAAATTTTGCATGTGGCTTGTATATAACAAAATATCTTCTGAGGAAATGCAGTCTTTTTTAATAATGGATAGTTGCATTTAAATTATCAAAATAATGAAATATTTTTGTTGACACTGATTTGAAAAGTAAGTTAGTTCTAAAAGAAAACTGAAGGTAATCTCCTTCTAGCTTAAGTGAGATTGATGTGTCTTCCAGTCAGTTTTTTAATATGGTGTTGAGCAGTGAATATATATCAGTCAGTATGTTTTCTGATTTTTATTGTGTTCTCATAGGCATTGAACTTCGAGGAAAAATTCTTTCACAGTATAAAAAATATTGTTACAAGTGTTCTATAATGTAACATGAAAAGTCTGAAGAGAATGAAGCTCTGCCATAAAAAAGTTACATAGCAAGTTATTTAATATTGAATAAAACGGCTGTCTTGCTAAATTGGTGAGATAGCATTAAGGTGGTGATGCATTTGTCACCATATCTGGCTTGAAATTGGCAAAAGCAGAGTAATATTTTGGTTCAGTCCCTCTACAACTGGTACTTTAATTGAATAACTGTAATTTATCCCTTTATGTAACTGTATCCAACACTTAATTTTGAGAAATCGAAGGTGCTGGAAATTTCCTGGCTGTCGAGGGAAAACTATATGAGACGGGAGAGAATATCAGTTTCTAAGTTTGTAGTCCAGCTGACTTCGGAATAATGAGAGATTGTGCAAGTTTTGCTATGTAGGTGTGCTGTGTTTAACGTTCTTAGTAGTTTGAAGTGGTAACTACTGATTGTGCTCTGTCTGACTGAGAATCATCGTACGAGTATTTTTGTAGAAACTTCTAAAACTGTAAAGTGTTTCTTTTGGAAAAGAAATTTTATCAAGCTATCATTGGTTTCGTGAGCATTTAATCCATGGTGAACCCATATGCACACAACAATATCTATAAAGTGTTGCAAACAGTTACCCTTGGAGAATCAGTATACTTGTATATGAATGCGGTAACTTTCCTAATAATTGGCTATTAATTGCTGTCCGGCCACTTTGATCATCACTTACCCCCTTTAAAATTTATCTGCTTTCAGGGGGTTCTATACTGACGCCATTGAAAATATACAAATCTTTAATGTGAGAACTGTCATGTTCAAGAATACATTTATTGTCATGATGAAACCAAATTGAAAAGGCAATTGGTAATGAACATTTTTCTTCTACCTCTGCTTCTTCCTAAACATTTATGCTAACTGTTATAATGTCATATTTCCTAGTAAATGTGTGCAAATTTCCAACAATGTTTGAATTACCTTAGTGTTTAATTAAAATTTAAAAAAAAGTATTGAGCAGGATAACTGGGTTAAATCTTGTTTGTTGAAAATAATTTTGATTATTTCTTGTATTGGATGAATTATATCATTTTGTAATATTACTTTATGTGATTGATTCTGTGAATATATCCTAATTTGCAGCACAAATAAAAATTTTAGTTTCTTAATACATAATTAGTAATCTTTAATTGTTTAGGTTTTGAGAATGATTAACACAAATTTGTTTTAAGTTTTACTTGTAACACAAAATCTTATTTTCCATTTCTAAGAAAAGGAATTGCGCTTTTTATTTATTATAAAAATATTCATTTTATATTTCCCGACCCATAAATTATTATAATCTAGGTAATAACATAGAATATTGTTTATCCAGAAGTACCTGGACTCAAGCCCCTTGACAGATTTTTTTTATCAGTATGTTATTCATATTATAATTGGAATTGCTATATTTTTGTATGTAATTCGTATCTGGGGGGAAAAAAAATCCTATCTGTGACTTTACAGAAGTGCGTTTTATATAATGTATTATTTCTGTTATATTTGCATATAAATCTGTGATACATGTGGCATATGAGTTTAAAAAAGCCTTCTTCTAAAATTTATTTTAAAGTTAAAAAAAAAAAAAAAAACTGTATAGTATTATGTCATTTACAAATAATTAGCTCTTTATCTATTCAAAAATTTCAAAATTCTGTTGATGTTAATCATTTCAATAATATATTGTGTAATTTTCTTTATATTACAAGTTCTCTACTACATGGCAAATGCAGCTTTTTACTGTATCAAGAAATACTGCACTGCAAATGAAGAAAACATTCATCTTTTTTCAAATCCCACCTCGAAAGCTGAAAAATTAGTTTCTGTTGTAATATCTGATATTTCATTATCATAAATATTGCGTACTTATGAAGTAATAACGATCAATGAAAGAGATAGTTGCATGTAAATGACTACATAGCTAAAGATTACAAAAATGTCGTTTTCTGAGGTTTTGGAAAATTTTCTGTGTTTTTTCAAGCTTTGAAAAATTTACTACAGTAATATCCAGGGTTCGTATGGTACTTAAGAGTCCTTAAAAGTCCCTAATTTTGGCCAAAATCGCCAGAAGGTCCTTAATTTTAAACATCTGAAATTTCAGTCTGTTTTTACGACTGCCATTTTGAGTCTGAATTAGCATTTTGCAGGAATATTTGGCAATTCACTTACAATATGGCTATTTTTGAATGGGTCATGATTATAATTTGTTCCTTTAATATAAATAATGGTGGGATACTCGAACTGAGCAAGAGTGGAAACATACGCATCCAAGTATTTCATTTTTTTAATGAAGAAGCTCTGACGTGCTTTTGGGGACGTGAATTTTTTATTAAACGTTCTAAATTTCTTATTAACTTTTGGCGATTTTAAGATCTTTTATTTTTATTCCGATATCTGGGAATTTTGACATTTTCTCCCCTTTCGTTAGGGCATTTCTTTTTATTTTTCACTCTCTTATAAAAATTTGGCCAATTGATAAAAGTTTTGCATCTGACAAATAAGAAAGAATACGCTTCAAGCACAGTTTACAAAAGTTTTAGCAAAGCAAATGTGGTAATTAATTAAAAATATCTTTTTAATTTTTTCATGGTAAAATTTTTCCCATTTCTCAAAATGGTCAGAATTCTCAGAAATGCATCTGTTTCTCTTATAAATTAATTTCACACTTTTTTCCTCCGATTTTTTTTAAAAAACATTTCTGGCTTTTGCTGTTACAGTTGTAGGAGTAATTTTCTTTGGGGTTTTAGACATTGAAACTTGGAAAGCTTAGAAAGATTTTAAAGGCAAATTTATAGACCCACATTCTTAAAAGATTCAGAAATGTGATAAATAAAATGTCTCCTGGTAGTAACACGCTGTTTCTTACATTTTAGAACATCTGGAAAAACAATGAAATATATAGTTGAATGTTTTACTTCTGATTCTAGATCGCTTTATTAACATTTTTCTTCCCTTCATTTTCTCTACTTTTCACTAATGGAAAATATCAAAAGTATTCTAATCTTATCAATGGACAGGCATTATAGAAAGGAATTTTTTATTAATAAAGAAATTGAAAACTGACAATTCAAAAGATTCATCTAATATGTCTTAATGCATCCTACACAGATCTGGCACTAGGCATCTTCTCACCTGATGCAATCTCTGTTGATCCTAAATTCTGCTGTTTGATGCCTTTCTAAATTCTGCTTCCAATGCCTGCTCTAAATTCTAAAAGTTTTGCCATTTCTAGATTTTGTTGCTCAGTGTGTCCCTAAATTCTAAAAATTATGTCACATCAGCCCTGTGGCCTGACTTTAACATATGTATTTCATATTTCTTCTGAATGTTCATATTACTAAGAAATAAAATTAGCAGCTTTTTCCATACATTCAAATGCATTTAGCTTTTAGAATACAAAGTCTTTTATTAATCCCCAGAAATTTAAAGTGAAAAGAAAAAAGAACTAAATATACAGAGAAGAAAATTATTCTTCAAAGATAGTACGATTATTACGTAAATTCCCAGTTATTTACAGTTTCAGCCTTTACTATAATTTTCCATTGCTCCGCTGCATTAGTTTCTGTCAGCTCCGATAATTTGTAATTATTAGTCTTTCCATTACCGCTGCCGACATTTGAGTTATTTTGACGATAGAGTTACTGAACCAGATTAAATTGAAATTAAATTGTATAGTCTTTTACCACTAGTCCATATTTTTAATTTGAATGTGACTCTTCTTGTTTAATTTTACATCACCACAAGCTGTAATTGATTTTGTTAGCATGAGAACATGCCTTTATGTTCCAAGTTCTTAAATAAGAAGCTTATTTAAACCTTTATTTAAATTTATTATCTGATATATAATTATTTCAGACATAGTGATAATTTGTTTCCTGTCTGTCGGGGGGGGGGTCGGACTATTTAACTTTTACCAGATCAAGTAAACCCTCATAGGTAGTACATTGTGGAGAGGTTGGCAGTTAGGAGATAAAACATGCAGAAACTAATGAGAACATTGTTTTGCATATTGAGACAAATTTCTAATTGTTAGAAAACATGCTTAAGGAGAAGGAAATCTATAAATTAGCCAAAATGTGTGGGCAGGCCTTCAAATTAAAAAGACACATAATTATTTGAGTTTTATGTTTTGTAGCTTTTAATGTGTAATTATCCTAATATTGTTTAAAAATCAGTGTCATAAATTGGATGTATTTTAAACTGTAAAATTTTATAAGATCGTGATATTAATAGGGTTTTTTAACAAATATTATTAAAAAATTAATTTAATAGTGGCTATTTAAATCCATAATGACTAAGGTTATCTAATACTTAATTTAATTATAACTAAATGCATTCTCTTAAAAATTATCTCTCTATATTAAAGCAAGTTTTTGCCTTTTGTTAACAGGCTGAGCTCGGTGCCGGCCCCTGGGAACTGGCACTGGAATTTTCGTTTGGCTGGCATTGGTCTCAAGACTGACAGTAGTAGAGTTAAAAAAATAAGTATAGTCTCATTGAAATGTGATCAAATGTAGTTTTAATGAAATTTATTGAAACATTCTAAACAAAAATATGGCTTAGCTTTACACATATTACAATACGAAACAACTATTTTTGTAACATTTTTGGCTATCTTGCAACCAAATAGTTTTGAATTGTCATCATAACATTTCGACCAATACTTTCGGGCTTTATGTGCGTCTCCTTCCTTTCTGTATAATTTAAGTTGGCAATATTACACCGCTTGATCGCAATAGTGCCGCCGGCTGAACAGAAAGGACAGCAAATTCGATGCTGGGCTCAACGTGTTTAACCTGTACCGTGGTCACAAGGTAAACACAAAAATATAAAAATTCATGTGAAAGTTATTCTTTGCATCTAGTGAAACTTAGTGCAAAACAACTTGTGGCTTAGTAGAACCTTAAAGTATGTAAGGAAGTTAAGGGAGTTACAAACCCTGGAACTCTACATGAAGCTACGACACTAACAGCATCAGACAGAGTCAGCTAACTTTCAAAACTTGCTAACTGTGTCTACATCAGGCCTTTCAGGTTTGTTCTGATCAGCAGGTCTCTCTATAGGCAAGCAGGAGCAGTGACAACAGCCAGTCTTTTGTTATGAATCATGCTGATTATGATTTTAATGCTCATTTTAACCTATGCTGCTTGACATAAAATCTACTTTATTTACTAAACCTCTAGACTGAGCAAGTATGTGACAAAATGAGACATTAAAAAAAAAAATGTTGTGTTCCACTACAGTTTTACAAGCTGTTAGTAAAACGTAACTAAAATGTCACTTATTTTCTTTCAAATATGTCCAGTTATTATGAGTGTAAAATATTTAATGCTACTTGGTAAATTTCATAAAATTAATTTTATTCTCAAACATATTAATAATTATGTTAATTAAGTTATGTTTAATAATAATCCATCCTACTCACGTTCAAGCATAGATATAATATTTTTAATTGAATTTATTCAGTTCCCATTTGCTCATAGGTCCTTAATTTTTATTCAATAATGATCCTTAAAAGTACTTAATTTCCTTGTGCAGAAATGTGTACAAACCCTGAATATTGTAATATTTTGTCTTTGTCTGGTTTTAGTCAAGTTCATGTTATTTTCATTTATATTTTTTTTTGTGTTGTAACTTTGTTAAATTCTTGATCTGTACTGCTAAATAATCTTTGAGATTTTCATCTCGTATTTTATTATCAATTCTAAATAATTTAAAAGAATATGGGAATCTGAATTATAAATGAATACATAACTGGTATTGTTGGCTGTAAGCCCATAAATACTATCATTTATTTTCAGTAATGATTAACAGCTTCATTTTAAGATGAATTTGAAATTTTCATTGGAAGTGAAGGTTCAAGATATACGATATTCTGAAGTACAGAAAAGTATATGTAAAATGACATATATCAGAATCTTAGAATTCAAATCATTTTATTCAAGACTAATATTTAGTCAGTTTACCTATCCCATTACAGCAGACACCATGCTTTCTGGTTTTGAATATCATTTGTTTGATGAGAAATTTCAAACATTATAGAAATAAATGAAGTTTTATGGATTTGATGAATAAGTGAAATAAATGCTTGTTTTGGTCTTAAAAGAAACAGTATATTTATTTTCACGATTTACATTTTTGTTTGCAACATGTTGCTTATTTTTTTCATAAAATATAACAAACTTTTAAGAAATAAAGCTTACACAACGCTTATCAAGGAATGCTCCAAGTAACGACGTTTTTAGCTCAACTCGTTGCCACACAGCGAATCTTAATTACTATTCAAAACATTAAATTATGTTCCACTACAGTTTTACAATATCTCATTTAGAAATGTTGCATTTCACTTTTATATTCAAGAGCAGACCCTATTTGGTTTATACACTATACAATTGATGGGTTTGTAACAGTCTTACTGTTTTATCTACATGCATAATTGATAAAATTTTCGAAGTTTTAAGTAGTTTTGAATCAATTCAGTATATGTTCATCTTCTTGGATTAATGGATTCCTGGCAAATGTTGATTTTAATTATTTTGCTCCAACCATTTTTATGATGCAGATAACCTTGCTGGATTTTGCAGAAATTTCAATACGAACAAACTATATGTTCTTGATGTTAATTTTTAGTTCCTTGTATTTAAATTCTACTCGTGATTTGATTGTAATGGAGTCAGTAACTGACTTTTTCCCTGATTTATATTAGCTTTAAAGATTACTTTCAATCATATTAGCCTTTATTTTAATTTTATAATAGCTCTAAGTTCATATAAAATGTCTTTTTGTGCAACATTTAATTCAACATGTAAATATCTCATTGGTTTTACTCATACCAATGATATGTAATAATTTTTTATGTAAATTGTATATATAATTCAAATGATTAACATATTATTATCTATTAAGTATGCCTACTTTTATAAAATGCAGCTGTGATTTTAAAAAGTAAACATTTTTTAACACAAGGATATATTTGACACCCATTTTTCTCAAGATTTGTTTTATGCAAGGTTAAAAGAAATTTTGTAGTTGATTTTTTTATTTTGGTTGTTGTTAAATTATACTTTCTGGTAAAACTTTTTTGTAATAACTTTTTTGGAGAAGCGCATATAGAGAATTCCTTCCTTGTTCCATTGCTTTAAAAGTAAATTAAAAACAATATTTGTTATTTTTTTTTATTAAGATATCAATTATGAAGATGAGGGCCGAGACATATCTGGATAAACAATATTCTTTAACTCAAATTTTGATTTCTTTTAATAATATACATAGTTTTTAATATTCAAACAAAAATTTTTTTACCCATATAATGAAAATTATTCGAATAGAACTGCGCTTTAATCCTAATATATTAATTGTATCAATTATTGAAGTGAAGAGCGTTTGTGTGCTGCCATTATTGACCTTTCAGGATGTAATATAATTAAGGCTGAACGAAGGAGTTCTCATTCTAATGGTGCATGGATTATGCTAATGGTGGAAGTGCTTTATTTCTCCCCAGGTGAAGAGACGTGGGGGTAAAGTTCTTAAGACTGGAATGGTTAAGAAGCAGAAGACTGCGGATTATCTTGATGTATGTACTTTTCATAAATTTATTATATTTAACTATCTTGAAATATTTGAGTAGTGTATATTGAATATAAATTATTTTTAACTGAAGGTGCTGTTTATGTGAATGTGAATATTATTTGTTGTAGTGTACTAATAAAGTGTAAATAAATTTTAAAATGCAATGCTTGTAATTATTGTAATATATTTAATTTTATTTTGCTGCTTTTGAGGATAATATAATTTTATTGATGAGAATTGCATATAAAGAGCAAGAAATTATATTTATAAAAAAAAGGGGGGTTAAAATCTAGAGCAATGTTAATGAAAAGTATGAAAGCAAGTACAAAACATAAATTCAAAGACTTATTTTTAATATACAAAAAAGATCTTACCTAGCTTTTATTTTTGCAACCTTTGATCTGATTATAAAAATATTTTAAATGATGCAAAGATTCATATTTTTGTATTTTTAAAAATAACTTTATATCAAATGCGATAATTTATTGAACATTCCTCTGGCCATATATTTATATCATACCTGCCGAATTTTTACGAAAATGTGTTTGTCTTTACGATTTTATGATCGTAATCCCATTTTTTTTACGATTTTTTTTCCTTTTTCAAGTGTTTTTAGTGATTTTTGTCGAAATTTTAGAATTTTTTCGCCAATTGCATCGTGTTTTTTTACCGCCAACTAACCGACTACTTCGAATCCAGTAACCTGCGGTTTCTCCCATCTCGCCGCTTAACCAGCCAATCCAATGCGCTGAACTTGTTTCTCCCACTCTTTACTTTGTGGGCGCCAGATTATTTTTTTCACTTTCGCTTTAGCAGCAAGGGAATTACTTAGCGAGCGTGAATTGTTGCATTCTGTTTTTTTTTGTTTTTTTCCCCACGTGCTACGAATTTTCTTAATACATCGTTGTTACGAAATGAGTTAAAAAAAACCGTATTCTCAACATTTTCGGCCTGCCTACAAAGCCGAATTTCCGACAATTAAAGAATCCTTCAAAGAAAATAACTATGCGTTTTGCAACGTGTGCGTGTGTGACTTCATAATAAGTCACGGTGGTTATAATTGGAAATCAAACCAGGGAACTTGTAAATTCTTTGAAAGATCATGAGAAAAAAGAATTTTTTCAATGTGTTAGAAAGTACTTTTCCTCAGCCTTGATTACATTGTAAGGAAGTTTCCTTTGCAAAATGAAGTTCTTTTAAATGCTGAAGTGGCAAATTTGAAACAAATTGAAAATTCATCTTTTGAAAAGATTCGTTTTTTTATTGATAAATTTCCATTTTTGTTAACAACTAAAGAAAATGAATGCCATAATGATGCTTTAGATGAACTACAGAAGCAATTTTCTGCTGCACAGTTTGAAGACTTTGCCAGTTCTGGAGAAGATAGACTTGATGTCCTCGTTGGTACCTTAAAAAGAATAAAAAGAGCTGATGGAATACCAAAATATGATAGACTAGCAGGAATTTTATGTGCTATTCTCGTAATTCCACACAGTAATGCTGAGTGCGAGAGAGTCTTCAGTGTTGTGAAGAAAAACAAAACTATGTTTCGTTCTTCAATTTCACCAAAAACTCTAGAAAACATTTTAATTGTTAAATGTTATGAGGAAATTAATTTTTATGACAGGAAATTTTCCAAAGAATTTTTGGCTAAAGCCAAAAAATGCACTCTAAATTCATTGCAATAATTTTTTTGAGTAACATTAAGTTCTTGTTTTATGTTTTCTAATAAATTTTTTTAGTTACTACTTAATTGAGATTTACTGATGTAAGTACAATTTTCTTTTTTCTATTTGTATAAGTTATTTTTTTAATATAAAAGCATGATATTAATTCTTCGTGTTCTTCTGAATTTTGGAGAAATCTTCTGAATTTTTATCTTTAGAGGTTGGCAGGTATGTTATATTTAAATAAAATAAATTTGACCCCAATGAAACCAAAAAAGATGGAGGATGTTTAATTTTCTAAAAATTTGCGATATTCGACATTTTGAATATGCATTGAAAGATTGTTTAGTAAATAAATTATGATAATTCAAGGTGGATTTCATTTCCTCACAAATGCCATTTAATATTCTTTTGTGATGTACTTGTCTTTATAATTTTGTTACATTTCATATACTGAAAGAATGTTCAAACAAGTAATTTATAAGTTTTCAGAGTTTAAAAATGTTATTAATATATATACCTATGAAGTTTTACTCCTTTAGAATCACAATTTGGTAATTGTAAAAATTAATTAAAATAAAAATATTTTTCCTTTTTAATTAATGCTAGTAATAAGTAGGCTATATGCCAATATTGAAGTCTGCCAGTGCTTTTCTGAACATGAATTCTATAAGATTCTATGAATAAAATCTTTTTTGGAGAATGGGGGGGAGGGGTAACTTATTTTAGTTTCATATAAATGCAGACACGATGCCCTTGAACTTTGCCATTTTTTCAATTTTTACATCAAATATTCAGATTAATTTTGCCATGCAAGAAGTCAAACTTTGTGTGTTTTATTTTTTTAATAACGAGTTCAAAATTTTCATAATCATATAACATATGAAAAGTTAGATTTTGAAATTTTTACAAAAGTGATTTCTTTAAAACTGCCAAAGTCTTTGCATCATTAAACATTTTTTGTAATACAGAATATATGTCTGTGATCAATGATTGCAAAAATAAAGGCCGTGCAAAGACTTTTCTGAACCTGCTATATATGCATGGCTATAACATTCTGTACGAGATACAGTAAAACACTCAATTGAAAGCTACATAGAGTTTTAAATTATCTCCTTCCCAAAGAGATTTCATGTTACATTTGAATATTGGAGAATGAATGAGTTTAAGACTTTACAGTACTCTTCTGTTGTGTGTATATATGCAGAAGTACATATACGTATCTGGTTGTAATGAAAGTTTTCCACCAAAAAAGTTCTTAGTAAATTTAGGGGGGAAAAGAAAAGAAAGAAGTATCTTTAGTGTGGGTAATAATCATCACCCAAATCTCCATTTCATATCTTTTCAGTTTTTTTTTGTGATAAAATGCTGAAATTTTGTAGCATATAAGCCACATTTTGCTGATTGAGAATTTATTTGTATGGGGGTCAAAACTTAAGTTTTTCCTGAAAATTGCAATTGATTGCAAAAAATTCTGTATTCTATTTTTATGTAAAGAATCAGGGTGAAGTCAATGTTTTTTTAGATACCTTGTGTAGTTATGATTGAAAATTTTTAATCTGTTTGTTATTTACTAGAGTAAGAAGCATTCTACTGATCCAGATAAAATTATCATGTATAAAATATCTAAGAACTGGATATTTCAAGTTTAATTTTGGCCATGGGTGTGTTCCATTGAAAAAAATCTATATGAACTTTTCTGTATAGTTTCTTTAAATTGTAATTATGTTTATATTCTTATGTTTTATTTTAAGTCTTAGATCCATATTTTTCATTTAAACTTACTTTTGCTGAGGCATATGAAAATGCTGTGTGGGGTAAAAATTGTTTGTGATGATATAAACTTTGGCCTTATAAATTTAATGTCTGTATCTAATGTTATACTTAAGTACACTAACCTAAGCAATTAAACATATATTAATACAGAATTAAAATTCCTTAAAGTGAATAGGCTCGATCGCATCAAAGATGTTAAAATATTTTATACAGTACAAAGTCCGTAATCTGGACTCGTCAGAACTTCGGCGATTCTGGATTAAGGGTTTTTCCGGATTATAGATCATCAATTTAAATGTGGTAAGATGGCATGCAGAAATTATGTAACTGTAATTTATGAAATAAAGAGCAATTATGATCTAAAGGGTATCAAAGTTTACAAAAAAAAGCTTAGTATTTATATGTTTACTTTATTAAACATTTTTTTCAATATCAGTTAAGTTGCTTCGTTTTTAGTGCTAAACGTACATGTGTAAATGCATTACGCACATGCATAAAGCATACAAAAAAAAGTTTGTGGCTTTGAGGTTCAGATTATAGATCATTCTGGATAATAGACATCCGGATTACAGACTTCATATTGTATTTTCCCCATCTGAGGAAATATTTTTTCATAATAGTGAATACTGATTGCATAATGTAGTATAGTACACTAACATTCAAAAGCTTGTGCTTAATATTACTGTGTATATGATTAAAAATTACATATTAAATGAATCTTAGTCTTATTTATAAGTCATAAAATTTAACATTTGTTTTTTGAAAAATCATTAGCTAATTTTATAATTTTCCGTGAAAAAAAATGAAGCATAGTAATAAATAAATATATTTCATAATTTTTTATGAAATAGAAATGGAAGGCTTTAGTTTTCATTATAGGAAGAAATAATTTACACCGTTAATGTATACAGACAAATTATGCACAGTACAAAGTCCGAGATCCGGACTCGTCGGGACTTCCGCAATTCCGGATAATAGATCATCAGTTTAAATCTAGTAAAATGGCATGTAGAAATTATAAAATTTAAAATATGGAATCGTGATTTATGAAATAATGAAGCATTTATGATTTTGATCATAAATGCTTCAGAACTACAAAAAAAGGGGGGAATGAAATTTACAAAAAAAAAAAATAAAAAAAGCTTAATATTTATTTGTTTGCTTATTAAGAATTTTTTCAATTTAAGTTGCTTCGTTTTTTGTACTAATACTTTCGGTACTTTCCCGTTTCGCCGGCGCAAATCTTACCAAGCAGACTTTGTTGGTGACAACATACAGTATGCACATAACAAATGTTAACTCTAAGAATTTTTTATTTTGAAGGCATAAACATTTTAATATGGTTTAAAATTTTGTGAAAAGACAATAAATTTGTGATTGCATTCTAATTGACTTAATTACCTCGAATTTTCTTAGGGCGTAAAATTTAACTATTTTGTAAAAATTCTATGCAATTGTATGCCAGCATTGAAAGAAACAGTCAATCTGATAAGAAATGGCTGTGATTTGTTTTGAAAATAGGCGTTAAAAGGTTACTAGCGAAGATACTCTGTTTGGCATCGGTTGTACCATTATTGGCGACTTTATCGTTTGCGCCGGCAAAAAGAAAAAGTACCATACTTTCTCTTTAATTCTGCAGACAGACATAATTTCTTGTAGGTACATTGCTGAAGTCCAGTAATTGCTGTGTCAAGAATTCAGACTAATTTGTCAATCAAAAATTTTTCGCTTTCAGTAAATTCTCTGTCACTTTCTTCACTATCGATAGCAGTATTTTCTAGATCTAGAACCATACTGCAGATTTTGCCATCCATGAATTGTCTGATGGCTGAGGAGCATTATCATCACAATGAAAAACTTCTTTTATATCATCTGTTATTACCGCTTCTCCACATTTTTTTACAAAATCCTTTAATTCAAAAATTTAACCTTTGGTTTCAATATCCAAAAAATTAAGCTGTCATTCATTATATGTATTTGGCTGTATATCATGAGATTGATGACTAAAGAAAAGTTGCTCCATTAAGTTTTATATTGCTTCTATCATGCTTTGAGACAATTAAGCCTGAATTGTATTAGTTTAGTTAATTATTATACTTACGTCTCTTTCTTGCACATGCTAAAGGCTTATCTGCGTCCTGAATAAATAAATTCCTACATATATTTAAAGCTGATTGAGGGTCTGCACTAGATATCTTGCTGCCTGATGCAGTTTCTTGTGGGTCCTAAATTCTGCCGCTTAGTATGGCCATAGGAGTCTTGGCACTGGTTCTAGGTTTATGTGAATAACAAATCAGTAATTCTTAATTCAAATAGCACTAAATGTAATCTTTTTGCCTATGAGTATCATTAAGAAAATCTATTTTCAGCATATAGAAAAAAAATTTTCCTAAATATTTCCTAGTCTAGGCATTTAACTTAAATCTGTAATCATCGCCAAGCATAATGTCAACGTAAAAGGTTACCATACTCTTTATTATTCAATTACTAACATAAAAAAAATTTTAGGCATCGCTACATGAGTCATTACTCAAGTTGTCATGTGTTGATAAACATACAGTGATGAAAGCAAACTATAATAAATAATGATTCACCAGTTTGGTGTCAGGGATGCGTAATGGCACATTGAGTTGATTAGTGTTAATGAATTTTGCATCCTGTGCATGCTCAGGGGTTTACCGTTGGCGTTGGAGAAAATACTGGCAACTAAGCATAAGCAACTCGACACAAGTTTTAGCAACTGCAATACTACCGAAATTTGTTTGTGCTGAATGCATTTGATTCTGTTTCATTTCGATTTATTTTGTTTATAAACGTTATGTTTAATATCCGTTATTTATGATAATTTCCTTGACTTCAATTCAGTAATTTAAACTGAATTTATTCTTTAATTTGTTAAAGATTATACGAATGGAACGTATGGTAAATATGCAATTGCTTTTATTCCTCAGAAGTATAATCAATAAAGATTCAGCTAACATATCTTATAATGTTTTCTTTTTTGTAATCATTCTTAAATGAAAATTTGCATAATTTACACTTTTAGTAATAAAGCAACTTGCATCATAAGTTTTAAAATCCTAAACTGTTTGTGCTCAAATAACAGAATACCAACCATACACCATATTTATTTTATTTACAAAATGTATCAAAGGTCGTAATTGCGCCAAATTATCTTCTGGGCATGCGCAATATGCAGAATTCGTTTAACATTGATCAACTGAATGTGCAGTTTGCCATTACACTTCGGGGATATAAAATATTAGTTGGTGTAAAATCAATGATGTAGAATGTTTTGGTTTGAGATGTTGTACCAAGCAGATATGGATTGGAGCCAAATTCTTGATCATACAAATCTATGCTAAAATTATTGTTTCTTCAATAACAAAGCATTTTATTTAGTGCCGAAGTGAAATTACGAATAGAGACTCTCCACATGTTTTATTACGAGCGAGGGAGGGAATCAAATGCGCTTGCGTAAAGCAGACAAAAATTTTTTTAAAAAAATGGTGTCATTTAAGTCCGGATATTGTACTTAGTACTGTAGTTTTTTATTGCAATTTGGATTTTCTATAAAGTACGATAAGTGTTCATTTCAGATCCCTAGAATGTTCACGAGAGTTTCCTTCTGCATACTTATAATGGTTCGCTGAAAAATATGAGGAAGTAATTTTTGCCCCAAGTTTTTCTTTACCAGTGGTCAAATTCATTTTCATGAACCCTTTACCAAATTTTATACTTTTTTAACTAAGAATTATTGTCTAATAAAATACCTTTCTTTCTATGAAAATACATCTTTTCTGTTTTCATTTTTAAAATGGCAATAAAACAATCTCAAGTGTCACCAAATTGAATTAAATTGCTTTCAAATTGAATTTAATTCAAAATCATTCATAATTTGGCAAAATTTTAGAATTATTCCTTCTTGATTAAATTTTTAATTGCCTGCTTTTTTTAATAGTTTTTAAATAATAAGCAGAGAATAAAAGTTTACAGCAAGATCACTTTTACAACATTCACGAAACTGACTTTATAAAATAATTATATATGTAAATAATATAAGAACAGTACTTTATCAGTGACATTTTTATTCATGTGGACTAAAATTGTTTTCATAGTCTGCTGACATTAATTTACAAACGTCATGGGATGATTGCAATAAACAGAGAAGTTAGATCAACAGCTCTTAAAAAAATAATAATAAATAAATCATGAAAGGGAGGAATTAAAATTATTTGTCATTAGTCATTTAAAGATAACTGTTATGGAAAACTCATTAGAAAATAATATTGCAATATAATTTTTATATAAGCTTATTATTTTGCTTAGAAAATCTATTCTGTATTTTTAGGCATAATTTTGTTTGAGATTTTACGATCAAATGGTGTAAATTTCTGTGTTTCATTTCTTAATATTGGGCATCTTTTCCAGTTAGTGCTGGCTTTCTAAAGTGTATTCTTTGTGAGAAATAATTTCAGATTATTTCCCAACTTACAAAATTGCAACAATATATATATGCATATTTAAATTTTTCTCTTCAGTTCTTAAAGTTTCAACTTCTTAAAAGTTGGATAAAAGTACCGTAATTTCCGGAAGAAACGCCGCAGCGGTTTATGTGTTTAAAACTTAAATTTTCAGCGGGTGCGGCGTTTCTACCCATGAGGCACTTAGGTGCACTAAAAATAAAATTTCTATTTCACTTTTCATAGTTTAAATGACCTTGTTCATTGTACATAGTTTGGATGGCCTTGTCATTGTACATAGACTGGGTGCTGTTCCCACACAAAAGACCACTCAGTTGCTTTTTGCGAACTGTTATTTTGTTTACATTCTTTCCCTTGAACGGGCCTACATGCCTTATTCACCCTAAACAAGATCTCAGAACAATAATATTCTTCCCCCTTTCAAATCAACATTCTCATCAGTTTGAATAGTCTTCTCTCCTCTGTCATTTCGATGAATCTTCCAGGAACCCATCCTCTTTCCTACCCCTGCCTTTTCCATTGTAAACCTACTGCAATGTTTTTCAAAGGCGACACGACTCCACCTGTGTCCTCGCAATTAATGAACTCTGACGTATTTTTCCTTCAGCATGAATGGATTTTTCTTGGCATTCTGCCAAATACAAGATTCCCATCAGTTTGGGTACAAGTACTTGTTGGATAGTTTTTAAGTAAGAAGGGAGCGGAAAATTTTTGAAAATGTCTCTAAACGGCACAGAAGCTATACATTTCTTACCTTTAATTTATTTTTGAGTTATGGTTTCATTTCATGTATTTTTCTTAACTGGTATGTCATATATCAGGACTTAGGTTGAGTTTTTGCATCTATACGGCCCACGGCGATGTCACGCGCAATTTAATTTATTGCGGCGTTTCTGTGTAATTTTAATATTTTTCTCGAGTGCGGCGTTTACGCTGATGCGGCCTTTCTTCCGGAAATTACGGTAAACAAAAATGCACAACTTATAGCAAAAATTCTTAGAGGTCTTTTCAACAGAAATATGAATGTTTTTTGTAAAAAAAAAAAAAAAATTCATCTATTTTTATTTTGTAAATATGTGACATATATTTTAGGATCAGCCACCTGCAACTGATGCATGGACTCGATACATGGCTGAAGTGAAGAAATACAGACAGCAAGCATGTGATGAAGATGGGAAAACACGCCCTCTTGTTAAATAACATTTTGAATATAAACTTTTATGTAAATATTTGTATGTAACTATCTTGCTGAAGCTCAAGGCATCTTATTCTTGACATAGTTATGTTTATAGATTGTTTGTTTCCCTTTTGTATTTAAATAATTTGCCTTTTTTTATTAATAGATGCAATAAATGTGAATTTTCTCCATATCAGATTAGTTGTGTCGAGGCATTCAGTTTATTGATACTTTCTTTAACCACTTGCGATACGACTAAACTTCGTGGTTGCGGTGCCATGCGCTACAATATAACAAGTGGTATAGTGTCTCATTTACACCGCTCCGCGTCTGCAATCCAGAGCTGTAACTTGAGAAATAAACAATCTCGTTGTCAGGCGACATGTGCACCGCGTTATTTTCATTTTTGCTCATGGTTTGAGACAAAAGCATCTTGATGTATGTGGCACGTCTTTTTAGCGCAAGTGGAATAATTTAATTTGGCAGAAGGATGTGGTTTCAAGAAATCTGAACACAAATTTTTCAGGGTTTAACTCTCCCCTTGTAACAAAGAATCAAATTAATGGAAAATCATGATTTATCGTACGAAAAAAACAATTCAGATTTATCTATGAAATAGCTCTTTACTTTCATGTAATACTTTGAGCTTTATCTCCCCAAATAGTAAAGAAAGACATGCCTAATGAAATTTCAGTAAAGTTGAAAATTAGCAACAAAAATGAAACAATTCATGAAACTCAAAAGTTCCCATTCAAAGATTTTATTTCTTGTACTTTACCTTGCTAACAGCCAAATAAAAATATATGCCAACTTTCCAATTTTCTATGCATTGTCTAAAAAAAGTGAAGTATCTTCTGAGCTGTTGAAATATTTGAGAGTTGTTGAATTAAATTATTTCTAATACAGTTCAGGCATGGAATAAAGATTGTTGTTAATTTGTATGCAAGGTATTTACTGCTATTGATTTATGTAAAAGTTTTTGATTAAAAAACACACAGACAGTTGGATACTATTTGAATTAATTTCCAAATTTTCAGTTTTACAAAATGTTAAGTCATCAATTTGAATTAGATACATGATAAATTTAAAGCTGTGAAAATTTTGTGTCAATCATTGTGTCATAATTCTAATTATTCTGCAACAGTTTTCATTAGTCAATATTTTAGAGATTCTTTTGGTGTACTTAAGATCTTTTTAAGGGAAACAGTTACTTGTCATATACCTCTAGCTGCAGAGCTGTGGACAGAAAATATTAGCAAAGGAAAATATGGTGCTTCTTTAGTTAAAAGAAGAAAAATAATTTATGCTATTCATGTTAGTTATTGGTCTATTAAAAGTGTACAATCAAGAATTTTATGGATAGTTACCATTATTAATATGGCTTACCTTGCTTTAAAATTTGGTAAAGTAATATTTCATGAGATTTGAGTACAGATACATTAGCTATTTGTAGAACAAAATTAAGAAGTCGAAGATGTACAACAAAAATAGGGTATTTGAAATCTTAGATAAAAGGTTACATTAAATGGTTGAACAAAATGAATTTGATATTGCCATAGCTAAGCAGCATTTCGCTATTTTTCAAAATAACATGTCATAAATGTGGGTAAACATCCTAGCCACTTTTGCACCATACCTTCACTCATTGCATTCTCTTCATAAGTTTCACAAGGTTGAACATTTCTTGCATTTAAAACTTAATAATGGCTCTCATTTCACATTGGCTGGCCGATCAATTGTTTTAAACAGAATTACTGAAAACCAGTGACTTCCAATGTGAACATAAACAAAATAGCTAGACCAAATTGTTCTTGAGTTTAACAATGTAACTACACTTGCATGACTTTCGTGCTGTGAGATGCATAGGAGATACGCACAAATTGAACTTTCTGTATCAGCTAACCATATGTGGTATCCAACAATCCTCTAATTTAATTAGTATAAATTTGCTGATAATTGCAGGTATATAGAGTGAAGATGGTGCAACACATATTATTCATTTGATCACATGATAAAAAAAGTAATCTAACATAATATCAGCTAATTTATAAGCAGAACATCTCAACCTTAAGAGTCTATATATATTCTATTCATAAATCATCAAGGTCCTTTTTGTCATCTGTTTGCTTAAAACTTTTTATAATGAGCCATTTTGAAATCTTTCAGCCTAACTTTTTAATCTGAAACATTTATTATATCATTAAGGAAAAATCAGCAAGGTGGAGGGGTTTTGTTTCTGAGCTTTATAAATCTCTTGTATAGAAGGATTTTACTTCATCAAGTAAATCTGATCAACAAGTTTGTTATTGAATGTGCAAAGGTTGCAATTTCAAGAGGAAGAGCTGGGTTGTATAGATATTTCTGCATTTAGGATAGTTAACCTCTTTCTTTCTCGCTCCCGTCAAAATGACAAGGTGAGGTTTCACCCTCTATTTCTCGTGCGCATGATTTTTCCGGGCTGGAGAGTTCAAAAGCAACGTGCTAAAAGGATTAAAACCAATTCATTACTTTAGACCAGAAAAAGTTTTATTTCTCATTTTACACACCAGATGGCAGTACCAAAATATTTTATGCAATTAGAGATAGTTTATTTTAAACTATTTCTGCACTAATCAAACGTGTATTTATGCTATGTGTTTTATAATTTTATTGTTAGCTCAGTCACTTAGTTAGTCTCATTTTAAATGCACGTGGTTTCTGTTATGTGATATACTTATATTTTTATTCTGTACATTATGGTGTCAAATAGTGAATTGGATTCTGATTTTAGTATAAATGAATCTGAAAGTGATTTTGAAGTAACTGATTTTTATGAAAGTTCGGTTAGTGAATCTGAGAACAGTGATGATGGATCTGTACTGTTGCCTGCACGAGCATGGGCTAAAATTGTGTCTACTTCAGCAGATCGTGCACCCCCACATTTTAAATTTTGGGGAACACTAAAACTACCTTAATTTCGCACGTATAGTCCGCAGACACGATTTTATATAAAAAAAATTTCAAAAATAGTCCGCAGACTGTACGTCCGAAATTACGTTTTTTTAATACGGCAATATTAATGTATTTTAGAAACAAAGAACTAAGTATAAATAGAAAAAAAGGCGATGTTTCATCAACGTGCTATCCTCATGATAAGTGGCAATGAAATGTGACCTTCGACCCCACTCGGTGTTGCCAAACCACGCTATAAGTAAACGAATCACGCTTTTTTTTTTCGTACTTCAGGTACTTGCTACTAAGGCTCCTAAAAACCGAGCTGACGCATCAACTACTTTCCCCCTCCCGGCAGTTGTGCTAAAGCAGTGCGGAGGATACTGGGATACAATACTCTGGTTGTGCTAAGTGAGTGCTCATATCCCGACATCGCTTGATGCAGCCAGCCTGCATTTTAAGAGCTCTACTTGCTACTACTCATTCGTTCTGCACTATGCTTTATGGTTTACTATCGATATGATATATACAAATGTTTTCTTGGAATCTCTCGCATTTTTTATATTTGATCATTGGCAGTTCACGACAGCATGTTTTTTTTAATTTCTACGATTTTAACCATGAACAACCAGCGTATTATCCGCACTGGTGGATAGTCCGCGGACTATACGCGCGAAATTACGGTAAATATAAATTTTGATCCACGTTTTGGTGTCTTAACAATATTTTAATTATTTTGTGAATAACAATTTAGTGGATCTCATTGTTCCGGAAACAAATAGAAAAAAAAAAAAAAAAAAAAAACAGATACGAAAATGTATTGGAGCAAAAAACATTCAATTTCAACACCTTTTTTCAGAAGCATAATGCCTTGTAATAGATTTTGCGAAATACATAAGTTTCTGCATTTTGCTGATAATGAAGCTTTTGATTGTAACACACATACAAATCCCAAGTTGCATAAAATCTGGCCAGTGTTACAACCCCTGAATGAATTGTTTCAAAGAGCCGTAACTCCTGGACGTGATATTGTAAGTGATGAAACCCTCATGCTTTTCAAAGGTCGTTTAGGATGGCGACAATATATGCTGAAAAAGAGATCCCATTTTGAAGTAAAATCGTATTTATTATGTGAATCAAGTTTAGGGTATATATGGTCACAAATTATATATACTGGAAAAGGCACGGTTTTTGAAGCAAAATATATATATCTGTCTCAATCAATTCAAGTTGTGATGTCACTTACCAAACCTCTGCTAAAACAAGGATATTGTCTGATAACAGACAATTTTTATACCTCACCAGAATTGGCATACATACTCTTATGGAACTGTAAAACTAAACCAAAAAGAAATGCCTCAAGAATTAAAAAAAGAGAATCGCAAAAGGTGAAAATGTTGCTTTTCGTCGAGATAAAAGTTCTTGCCATGAAGTGGAAAGATGAGAAAGATGTTACCATGCTATCTACAGTTCACACAAATCACATGGTAGATGTACAGTGTCATAACAAAGTTGTCAAAAAACCTAATTGTCAGAGATTACAATAAAAATATGGAGTGGTAGGTATTGTAGACCAGTACCTTGGAGATTACTTTATTGCTCCAAAAAGAAAAATTAAATATAAGAAAATATTTTTTCATTTGTTAGACCAAACTATTTTGACCTCTTATCTTATTTACAAAAAACAGGGTGGAAAAAAAATCCCATTTGATGTTTCGTTTATCTTTAGTAGATGAATTTATAGAAATGTATCGGTTATCAGACACCATTTCAGAAAGAGGCCGGCCAAGCTTGGAGGATAATCCAAACCATTTGATTGAAAGGCATTTTATTAGATACCCCAACTGATAAGAAACTGCAACAATGCAAAGTTTATTGTTCCAGAACAGATGAAAACAATAAGAGATGTAGGAAGGAAATTCGGCACTACTATCCAGATTGTGATGTTGGCCTTTGCATCTCATGCTTTGAAATTTATCACACAAGAAAAAATTACTAAGCATTGTTTATATTATGCACAAGTTTAATAAAATTCTCTTCTAATGTTTAAAACACATATTTCTGAAATTTTCTTGGCTTACTGGGAAACCAAATTCAGTCAAAATAAACCTGAATGTTGGCTTTTTCTAAAAAATATTATTTTAAAAAATTTCAAGCTAAAAAAATCCAGAAATTGAAAATGAATGCATATATGTATTTATTTCTATGCAATTTTCTTCAATAAAAAAATAAAAACTTTTATGACCATTTTCTTGAAAATTATCCGATTGTTAAGGGGTTAAAGGCAAGGAGAGATTGCCTTTATAGAAAAGCTGAATTGACTAAGAGGCAGTGCAATGTAATCCTTTGGAGAAGACAATATACACTTTTTAAAAAATCTTTATTTGAGAATAAGCAAATAGCTTTTAGTAAATTTCAATTTCAACTACAAAAAAATATCAAGACGTACAGGTACCTTGCAAGAATTCAAAATAAATACACTCTTAAGAACCTTTGTACGTAAACAAACATCTGATGAATTAATTGCAAATGCTTTTGGACATGGTTTTTGCCAAAACAGAGAAAGAGTATTTATGCTTGTATGCTTAGAGATTAAGCATATTAATATTCAAACATTCAATCTTCTACATTCTAAAAAAAGATGGGATTGGAGCATCTGATTATGTCTTTGGCTCTTCTTTTGCATTTTACAAATTGTAAAATTAGAAAATCTCCAAGAATGGACTATTTCTATGGTGAATTTCTTAAGAATTTGGGTGACTATGCAAAGCAAATGCTTTCAAATATTTTTAATTATACAGGGGTTGTAAATTAAATAGTGGCAACTTAACCTTGAAACTTGCAGAAGGGCAGGCATACACAAATAGGATATGGGAGCGGTGAGGTGGCGCTGTTGTCGATCTGCTTAGGAGGGTAGTTGTGTGGTGTTAAACTGAGGAGTTTCGTTTCCATCGCTCTAAAGCATGTTTTCAAAAGGTGATTAGCGGTCGTGGCTTAAAATCGAGGTTGCCCTTTGCACAAATGCTTTACCGTATAGGACAGTAGCACGATAGGTTCAAGCATTTTGTTTGGGTCGGAATGAAACTGCGGATTTGCAACGCACAGCTCGGCCCTCCATTCCTCAAGATCAGATTGACATCCTGAGCGGTCTCTTTACCATAGACCACCGATGGACTGTCCGAGAATTATCCTTGGAGGTTGGTCTGAGTCATCAAACGATGTGGTACATAATGAAGAAATGTCTCAACATGAGGAAAATTGCTTCCCGCTGGGGTTCCACATCGACTAACCGAAGTACAGAAATGGCACCCACTTGAAGAGATACCACAATGAACGAGACTCATTTCTGCAGTGTATTGTCGCCATTGATGAGACATGAGAACGAGCCTATGAGCCTGAATTAAAGCGTCAATCACAGGAACCCAATTTGATGAAGGTTATGCTGATTGGCATATGACTGGGACGGAGTGATTCTTACACATGCTATACCTGAAGGACAAACTGTCAACGCAGATTACTATTGCCGATTTCTACAGCACCATCTTTGTCTGGCTATGCGGCACAAATGTCCACGTTTATTGCACAACAGTCTCCCTATCGTATTGCATGACAACGCTCGTTACCATGTCACAAACAATGTCACTCTCCTTTTGCAACAGCGGCAGTGGGAAATCCTGGAAAACCCTCCCTACTCACCTGACATGAGTCCTTGGGACTTCGATCTGTTTCCGAAGTTGAAGAAACCCCTCTGAGGTCACCGATTTCAGGACGTTTCATCTGTACTCCATGCAGTAGGGCGCTTGGTCGCTCACATCAACAATCAACACCTTGCCACTTTTCTACAACAGCTTCCCGACATTTGGCAAAAGGTTATAAGCTTTGCTTGTGATTACATAGAAGGAATGTAATGCAGTTGTTCTTGTAAGTTAATTAAAAATTGATTTATACCTATGTTGCCATTACTTAATTTACAGCCCTTGTATTTGTGAGATTGGTGTGGTCCCCTTACAATAGAAAAAAATTGCTGATTATCCCAGTTTTCAAAAACAATACAGATGCAAAATATATGTCAAATTATAGACCTATACTGCTCACATGTGTGGTGAAGATGGGTTACATAAGGTTGAACTAGTATCTAGAGCATTTTGATTTACAGGTTGTTTTTGTAGAGGTAAGTTGACAAATTTATAGGTTTCCCATTTTGATAAAGTTGTGAAGGATGCTGTTGATGCTAGAATGTTTTGATGACTGTTTATGTTGATTTTTAATCAGCATACAATAGGGTAAGGAAGGAGAAGTTATTTCTTAAGCTTATAGATGTTGGAAACAAAATGTTAAATTGGATTTTCTTCTTAATTGGCCAGCACTTCTATCAAGTCGTATTGGAAATAAAGTATTTAAGAGTTCTGTCGGGTTTGGCAGACTGGTCTCCCTCAGTGATCTGTACTAAGCTGCATCCTTTTCAACATATATATAAATGATTAAATTGTTTTTGTGAACTCGGTTGAGGGGAATCGTTACCTTTTATTTGCAGATCTGGTCTTTTGGATACAATTGCAGAAAAAGGGTGCAAAGAGTAAGTGAGGAGTACCTTAGTGCTGCTCTTAGAATATTAGAAAATTGGTGTAATATTAATAACGTGGTTGTTAAACTTGACATGATCTTCTCTCTTACACATGCTATTTTCTTAAATTACCGTTTATCTAAACAAGTTCACCTATCTTGTGGTTGTGCTTGAACAATAAGATGAACTGGAAGTGTTGTGCTGAATGTATATCTCATTTACTAAAAGACTTTCTCCTTAAGTGTCTCGCTGGTTACCTCTGGGGATGTGGTTGCTCATACTGCTTATAAGTACTTATTATTCTGCCGGTCCTTTTGTATTGCTGTGAACTATTTATTACTATTTCTAACTATAGACTTTGCAGAACTATGTTTAATATTTGGCACTGTAAGACCACACTGATTGACGAAAAATAAACCTGTTCAGACCCAGAAAAACGAGACGGCAGCAATTTCCTCTGGGGATGCAGTTGCCCATACTGCTTATAAATACTTATTATTCTGCTGGTTGTTTTGTATTGCTGTGAGCTATTAATTACTATTTCTAACTATAGACTTTGCAGAACCAGGCTCTATGTTTAATATTTGGCACCGTAAGACCACACCAATTGACGGAAAACAAACCTGTTGAGACCCAGAAAAACGAGACTGCAGCAATTTTATATGAAAGGTTAATAAGAACTGGTGATTATTTTGAAGACAATACCAATCTAGACCCAGAAATTTAAAGGTCCAACTTGGCTTTGTCCACACAGTCCTGGATCAACGTCCTACCTTAGATGGTGAGATACAGGATAAAGGGAGGCCGGTTAATCTTTGTGAATATGAAGCAATAAATACTTATTTAGAACTTTATTGCCTAGCCTATAAAAGAGAATATCCTCCTGAAATCTTGCACCAAATGATGCTGGAGAACAGAACAATATCTAAAATCTGACTGGCTTGGAGTATACACATACATTACATTTGATTTGGCAAATGTCAGTGTAGGAGTATTTTGCGAATTATTCACATTTTATATACCTAACAGACATTTTGGTACTGCATTTGATGGTGAAATAACTGCTTTTAAGGTATCTTTACAACTAGCAACTATTTTTGATTATATAAATTTGACTTCTGTTAAGGTTGTGGATTGAGAGACTCCAGATTTTCAACCGCTCTCCCACCAACCCAATTTACGATATATCTCCCGACTTTTTCTTATTGTTAAAATTTCTCATAATTGTTATGGAACTTTAATACTTCCTTATATGGAGGGGGAAAAAAGTGATTTTAGACGTCTGAAAGGAATTGAATTTTCTCTAGATTATATCTAAAACAAAACCTTGCAAATCAGATGAGAATTTCTGCTTTGTGAGTGAGAGTATACGTAGCTGGGCATCAAGCTCCACTGTGTGTCGTCTGGCATATATTAGTCAATGAGCACAAAGCAAGCTCAAGGCTGTTATTTGGATGTTCTTTAGTTATTTCGTTCATCTTGTCCTGAGTTGCGTGAGTACACATGCCTTCGGGAAATAGTTTTAGAAATTGTCATCCTTTGTTATGTCTGCGAGAAAGGTGAAATACTCATGCACGTTTCAAAAATCGTACACAGTTGACTTTCCTTCCATTATTTCCTCAAGGAAATGTAATAAATTTGCGATGTGTACCGTCTGTCGTTGCAATTTTTTGATTTCGCATGGTGGGAGGGCAGATGTTCTCAAACATGTGTGTACACAAAAACACAAGAACAACATCAGTTGTTTTGAAAAAAAACGAAAAATTAGATTTTTCCTTCGGAAACAAAGGACCAAAAAGTTATAAATGCAGAATGTCTGTTCTCTGCCTTTTTACTAGAGCACAATCTGCCACTGAATGCATCGGATCACTTCTGTTTCCCGATAGTGAAATCACTAAGAAATACTCCAGTGCAAGGACCAAAACAGGTGCAATTGTTAAAGAAATGTGTTTTAAAAATAAATCTTCAGTTATTGATTGCATT